GGGCCACTCTTGCCTTCTGGCTCCCCCAGAGCCAAGCGCCAGAAGATGGGAAACATCATGATCCAAGCTGACGTCAGCCTAGAGAAGATCAGATACCATCCCTCTATAAGCAACATGCTGGATTGCATGCATTCCTCTGCCAGGAAGTTGATTGCAAAGCCACTTGTGACTTTGGAGGTCCAGTCATCAGAGTGCGAAGAGATCCCCCCAAGTATATTGCCCCCAGGTTCCAGGTATGGGTTGACGACTCCCTTTGGGTCTCTGTTAGGAGAGGGTGCAGAGCTGCAGCCTTGGAAGTATTTGCACTGAGTAACCATTCTTCTTTGGTGTTTGCTGGTGTGCACTTCTGTGGCTGAATGTGTCTGCTGCTGTCAGAACCCAGGAGGGGCTCACCTGTAACGGGGCTGTCTTCTGCTTTAGGAAGGCCAAGCAAGCTCCTTTTTCTGTTCTGCAAGAGAAGGAATCCTGGAGCGATGAGGACGAGATCTTCATGGACCAGCGTGAGTGCATCATTGCTCTAAACGCTGCCATTAAACCTGAAGGGAATGTTTATCCTCTCCGCTTGTGTTTCTGGTGCAATGTTGTGTTGTCCTGGCACAACACAAGGCAGAAACACTGGCTGCATATGTTGAAAAGGGGAAAAATTCTTTGCAATACTTATGCTTGCCAACCTATGTGTGTGCTTTCCCCCCTCCTTTTTCCTTTCAGAATCAGAGTGGTCAGTTGGCACCGACATTTCTGGGACTAAGAAGAAGGTAAATGTAACCTAACCCAAGCAGAGACTTCTGAACAAAACCAATTGCTCATTTCTTCTCTCTAAAAGTAATTGGAAAATTTAGATAATTATTGCCACTAATAGGGCAGGAGTGTGGGAAATGGCTGCTGAGGGACTTCTCTGCTTTGGCTGCTGCAGTTTCAAGCTTTTTCAGCCTCTCGCAGAATTGGCAAAGCTTGTATCTTCTCCTCATAGACAGATTTTGTTTCGGCTAATGTAAAATTAAAACTGTTATGGGTACATAGAGTTCCCCGGGAATCTTTTTTTTTCATTTTCAATATTTTTATTAATTTTTCTTCAGCAGAATTAAGCTGCAAATGAGGTTTGCCAACCTTGCTTATTCATGAGGGTTTCCATTGTTTCTTTTGCAGTGGACTTTAGAGGAGTCTGCATGGATCAAGGAAGGCGTGGAGAAATTTGGGGAGGGCAACTGGAAAACTATTTCTCAAAATTACCCTTTTAAGGATCGAACATCTGTGATGATCAAGGACCGCTGGAGAACAATGAAGAAACTGGGACTAAACTGAATTTGAGGGCAGACTGTGCCTTGAATGGTATTGAGTTAGCTGTTGCTGTACCTTTAATATGTTATGTAAAATAAGTAATAAAATAGTGTAATTTGCAGTATAAGGGCAGCTTGTTTTACAGCAATCAGGACATCAGTCAACAGCAAATTAAGCATCATAAAAGAAACAACTGCAGACCAACATAATCAAAGCAAGAGAATAAAAATCAAAACGTTATATAGAATATGCCAGCATCTACAAATAACGGCACCAACACAAAATGTTACGAAAGGGAGACTCGGCCCAGGACTGGAGCCAATGGTGCCTCTCCACTCTGGACATGGCACCCTTAGAAGGAAGGCCTTTTCACTCTGGCAGCTGCACAGCTTCCCAAGGGGGCCCTTTCGCCCCGCCCCGGGTTGCTCGCCTGAGCTAGCAGGCACAGGGCAGCCAAGTGTTGGGCAGGAGCAGCTCAGTTAATGATTAGCTCAGCCAGCTGCGAGGTTGAGTTCCTCCACGGCCAGCTGGCATCCATTTGCCAACATGCTTGCCCTGTCCCAGATGGTGGGGCTCCTGGGTTTGCTTCAGGGGCTTAATCTCGCCCACTGCCAAGAGTGGAAGCAGCCAGGGGGGCCCCACAAGCAGCTTCTCCCCCCCAAGAGGGACCAGTATGACTTTGCCATTGTCATCGCTGCAGGTGGTATCGAATGCCTCTGGCAGTTTGCATACCGAAATGGCTCCTTCTTCTTCAGCTATGAGGTGGGTGACAGTGGGGAGGGAGGCAAAGGGGAAGCCCACCGATCATTGACCTATGAGTTGGGTGGAGCAGGAAGAATCCTCCATTGTGAACAGCAGAAAAGCTCAATTATTCCAACAGGATTCTGCCCAGCCTCTCTCCCCCCTAGTGGATCCCACAGACCTAGCCACCCTGGGGGGAGGGTCCCTTGTACACCCGACTTCTCCAGGCAAAGCAGAGGGAGGGGGCAGGGAATCCTGTAGAGATCCTTGTCAACATATGCCTGGAAGCAGGTGGAGCAGACCTGCCAAAGGAGAAGCCAGGGAGTTGTAGGTTCAGAGCGCCTGGATCTCAACAATGCCTCTTGTGCTGCAGGAGCTCAAGGGGTGGGGTGGATGTCTCCACCACCCAGCCCAAACTGCCCACACAAGGAATCCCTTCGCCTGTTCCCAGCACCCCTGAGCTTCCATGCTGCTTGGAAAGTGTGCCTGTGGGGGGGGGGGTGCTCTTCCCCCTGCCATACCCCCCGGCCCTCCAAGGCGGGCCCCCCCCCCCCCCCCCCCCCCCGGGATCTTTGTGCAGGCAAGAGGGCCTGCAGGGGAACTGTGATCTAAGAATCAATGCAAGGCAACCGGAAGACGCCGGCATCTGGGCATAACAGGGTCATTGCCCCAGTTTGTCCTTCATGGTTTTACTTGGGTCTCTCTCGCTTCCAGGTGCAGAAGACTTTAGGCCTTGGCCACGACAGGCACATCCTGGCAACTGTGAATGATCCCAGTGGCTTCCACCTCGGCACTTCCCAGGATGTGCGGGGACAGATCAACTTCCCGGTTCAGGAGACAGGTGCCCCACTGTTGGCTCTGCAAAGCTCCCTCTAGGTGGCTTCTTAAATGAGTCACTTTTTTGTGGTGCCACGTGGCACAGACAGGCCACCCTGTGCTTGTTGCAGCATGACACCTTCTATGAAGACATTTGGGCTCATTAGTCATGGTTTAGGGAGCCTAATTCACCTCCCCCCCCCACACCCCCAAGTACATTGAAGCCCGTTTCTAGAATGCCAGAAGCAGAGGCTGGTGGAATGGCATCTGCCAGACCTCTTCCAAAAAGACCTATCTGGAGCTCCTATTGCAGATTCTCCCCTTAAACTATCCTCCACTTGATGGCTCCAACATACTATTTGAGCCTCATTTGGGTCCACCCTATAGTTTTTTAAATGCAGAAATCCTAGTTCATATAACCTTTTCTCAATTCTGAGAGGTGAACACCAAATCCAATTCCAATTCACCCCTCCACCCAATTTTTCAGTATTTTTGTGCTTGAAACTAGAAAATTGCTAGTAAAGATTGACAGCCTTCTGTTTGAAAGGGAAAGCAGAATTAACCATGGATACAGCTTTCCTTCTGTCCTTGTAGGTACTCCATTTATTATACATCACCTACCCAACACAGCTGAGGGCAGGCAGCATCACAAGAAATGTCCTTGAGGCTTGATTAATTCTCCCTTACAGGCTTCTACCAGCTGTGCCTGAGTAATCGATACAACCATTTTGGAACTGTGCAAGTGTATCTCAACTTCGGGGTCTTCTATGAAGGCTTTGATCTAGAAACTGAGCGCCAGAGGACGGAACTCAATGGCACTCTGGAAGCAATTGAGGTAACTAGTTTAAGTGCCTGAAATAAAAGTAGCAGGTAATAATCTTCATTAGCTATCTAGAAAATCCATTATGGGGCATTCCAAACTTTTTCTCAGGCATCTGGGTTTCTGGTGTGTTTGGGTCAGAGCTTCCTTTGTACATCAGCTTAGAAGAGATAGCACAACACTGGGAAAAGGGGAGATGTCCTTTTCCTCTAAAGATGATTTGTGCCAGGAACTGAATCTGAACCTTTTTTCTTCTTATCCAAAATAGAAGAGTACTACCAAGCTGATGGCCAATGTCTTCCACATGCGGTATTACTACAACTTTGCTCGAATGAGGTCAAGGACAGACTTCAACCTTCTCCAGTCCAACTATACCTACATGAACTGGTGGTCAGCAGCTCAGAGTGTTGCCATTGTGCTCTCTGGCATCTTTCAGCTCTGTTTCCTCAAGAGCCTCTTTGCTATGCAGCCCAGCAACAAGCCCAAATGCTGAAGCTTCAGTAGGATGCAACGCAAAGCCCCAAAGCAGCTGGGCCCCACCTCTGGCTATAAAGCCAAGGAGTGAGTAATTTGTAGCATTTTCAAGGCTGAAATTTGTTAATAGGATAATAAATCCAAGAAATTCTCTTTAGGTGAACTGATTGACTAGGAACAAAATCAGCCTACATTAAAATAAATATTAACTGAAATTTAAAAATATACTATGCTACAAGACAGTTGAGACAACTTATATAATCCAAATAGAACAGGGACATCTTTTATGAGTATATGCACAATTTTCTTTGCCTTGAGATGCAACCTTCTAGGAAATGCCTGTAACTGCCCAACTAATAATGTAAAAGGAAATGAGTGCATTCACTCTGCTAAAAGTAACAGAAATGGCATCTTTATCAGCTCCCAGAGCTCAACATGAGCACAACATTGCGAATAACAAATAATAAAACTAGGAATTGTAGCTTCATCCCAAAATTTTACAAGATGTCCAACTAGCAAGCTCTGGTACTGGTCACATGTCCTTCCAGGTTACACAAAAAGGGGCTCAAATAATCCAAACCACAGTGGTTTTTAAGGTTTCAGGCTGCCAGAGAGGGTGGGAGGAATTCAGCCCTGTTTATTAAGTCAGCGTCTCCTCGTGTCGTATGTACTCGCCTATATCTGCTTGATGAAATACTACAATTGCCATGGGATCCACTTTTCGACACTCCTGGGTGGTTTTGGCTGCCACCCCAAATCCCTGCAGGAAACAAAACCAGTGACGTGAACAGTGCCACTCTTCTCTGTATCAGGACCCACCCAAATCCAAAAACCTGCACAACTCACCAGAGGAACATCAGCCATAGAATACACCACCACTCCTTGGTACTGAGCAGTGCTCTCAGTGATGCGCCCCAGACCAGATTTCAAGAGGTGGTTCCCATAAAGGAAAGACTGCTCTGCCCCAGGCTTCACCCAGACTTTGTACTGCAGGAGAGAAACAGAATGACCCACTGAACTCTAAAGCCTCAAGAAGTGGTTCCTTGCATGATAAAATGACCTCTTCAAGCCTCCTGCACTGAATTCAATAGTTATCGCTGGTTCATTTCCAGGCCTCGCTGCTCTTAGACTGACCGTTGCAGTAAAAATGTTACTGTCCCAAGGCAAGCCAGTTGACATTTTGGCCCTTTCCCTTTTTCATTTTGGAGCACGACAAAAATGCTCTCTCAGAGAAAATGCTTCTGAAATAAAATTAGCATCAGCCCACCTTTACCTTGGCATAAGGGGCGAGGTAATCCAGAGCAGTGATATGGAGCCGGAATTTCTGGGTCTTGGTGAATTTTCCAAAACAGGAGCCCAGCGACACCAGGTTGTCCCGTGGAATATTTGTAGCTAGTTTCAGCAGTCTCTCGCTGGAAATCAAAACGGAGGAGAGTCACCGGGGAGCCAGGACCAGGTTTCAGTGGGCCAATCTCAAAACCGGTGGGGCAAGTGGAGGGCCGGCCAGCCACTATTCCTTTGGGCCCTCTGTAAAGCTGGACCGGGCTAGATGGACATCAGCTCCTCAACCTTTCCATGCTGGAGGAACCGCTGAAATCGTTGCCCCAAAGCCTTCACTTCCAACCCGGGTTGTCGGCGGTGACATACAAGGCGGAGCCGCCCCCCCTCCCCTCCCCTCCCCTCCTTTGCCTCGCGGGCCCCGCCGACCTGAGGTAGAAGACGCGGTCCTTGTGCAGGCGGAAGCAGTAGGTGCCGTCCGGCCGGTCCACCAGCAGCTGGATGTTCTCGCCGACGCTGCGAAGGGAAGAGACAGGGTCGGCCGAAGCAGCCCCCCGCACCCCCCTCGGAGCCTCTGCCAAGCCCTCCCCGCCCGGCCTCCCCCCAGCCCAGCCGCTGGCTCCGCCTTCCGCGGGCACCGGCACCGGCACGTACTATCGGGCAAGCTTCTCGAAGAGGACGCGGGTCTCCTCCTCCGTCAGCGGCCGCATCGCCCCTCCGAGCACCGCGTGGTCCGCAAGACGGGTCCCGGCAGCGGGTCCCGGAGCCGGAAGTTGCTTCACTGCAGGAACAGCCAATCCGCCCTTGCTTCATCGACTACAGAGTGCCAGAGAACGTCGGGATAGAGCGGCCAGGACAGAAAGCAGAAGCGCCGACGGAAGGGCCCCGGTTGCCATAGCGATCACTTCCTGGTCCACGTAGACTCCGCGATGGCGGCCTCGGAAGCGGTGGCCTCGGGCAGCGCAGCGGACGTGGAGGAGGCGAGCCTGCTGGCCTGGCTGTTCCGCGCGGCACCCTCAGCGGTGCCAGCGGGGGACGCGGAGCTGCCGGCCTACCTGGCGGCGCTGTCGGGGCTGGGGCTGGAGGCGCTGCGGCGGGAGCCCGGGCGGCTGGCGGAGGAGCGGGCGCAGCTGGGGGCGCAGACGCGGGCCTTGGCCTTCGCGCACTACAAGACCTTCATCCGCTCGGCCGAGTGCACCGCCGAGACCCGCCGCGGCTTCGGCGGCATCGAGCAAGGCCTGGGCCGCCTGCTGGACCGCCTGCCGCCCTTCGCCGAGGCCTGCCGGTGAGCCGCCCTGTCCCGGCCGGAGGGAGGCGGGAGGGGGGGCGCCGGCCAGGCCCGCCCGCTGACTCGGCGCCTTCTCCGCAGGGGCTTCATGCGCCACGCGGAGCAGATCGCGCAGAACCGCCGGATGAACAACGTGACGCTGAACCGCCACACGGAGATCCTGGAGGTGCTGGAGATCCCGCAGCTGATGGACACCTGTGTCCGCAACAGCTACTACGAGGAGGCGCTGGAGCTCGTCTCCTACGTCCGCCGCCTCGAGAAGAAGCACGCCGGCATCCCCGTTGTCCAGGTGCGATCATGACCGGGAAATGCTTTGAACTTCCAGGCTCTGCTCGCTGTGAACTTGACCCGAGGGCTTTGGGGCGAAGGCTTCGTTCTCCTCTTCAGCAGGAGAGGCCTTAGTGGTGAAGCAGAACTCCAACTGGGAGGAAGGAGCAAAAAGGCAAAGCAAAAGTTCTTCCACAGCTTTTCTTTTGATTTGTAAAATGCTGGTTACTTTTATATTCAGAAATTTGGAGTGATTCAGGACCAAGGGCCTTTTGTTACATGACTGCTGTGTATATGCAGTTGCTCAAGCATCCCATAATCAACCCTATCTCAGCATAGACATTTCAGGCTGGCTGGCACTAATGTTGCCAGAGCACGTCTATGGCAGTATTACTGCACTGTGCCCAAAGGGCCATGTGGGGTCCAGAATTAGAACTGGGGTATGCCTCTTGCATAGTCTTGGGAATCTATTTTCAGAGCCTATTTTCTGCCCCACTAAGAACAGCTTTTCTCTCCTTCCCAGGGCATAGTGGCCGAGGTGCGTCAGTCCACACAGCTCATGCTTACTCAACTGATCCAGCAGTTACGTACCAACATCCAGCTGCCTGCTTGCTTGCGTGTCATTGGCTACCTGCGCTGCATGGATGTGTTTACAGAGGCTGAACTGCGCATCACATTCTTGCAAGCAAGAGACTTCTGGCTGCGCTCCATCCTTGCCGCTGTTTCTGATGAGGACCCCTATGTGCACATCACAAAAACAATAGAGGCCTGCCGTGTGCATCTCTTTGACATTGTCACACAGTATCGTGCCATATTTGCAGATGAAGAGCCGCTGGTTCTGCCCTTGGGGAAGGACACCTTCAATGAGAATGCCATCTTCCACGGGTGGGTGCTGCAGAAAGTATCCCAGTTTCTGCTGGTTCTTGAGCGAGACTTACAGCATGGCGTGGGCAATCGCCTTGACTCTTTGCTGGGCCAGTGCATGTATTTTGGCCTGTCCTTCAGCCGGGTAGGGGCAGACTTCCGGGGCCAGCTTGTTCCCATTTTTCAGCATGTGGTACTCCTTGCCTTCAAGAAAGCTATGCAGGAGGCCGCAGACCAATTCCGAGAAGAGATGAATTCCTACACATTGATCTCTGCGCCAGCTCTCCTGGGCAGTGCCATCTCTGTGCCAATGCCTTCTGCCCAGCCAGGCACCTTGCAGCCCCCTCTGGTGCTACTAGACTTTTCCCCCCTTGCCCATTTACTCAACAACATCCTGATGGCCTTCAATGATTTGCGTCTCTGCTGTCCTGTCGCTCTGGCCCCAGTTGTGGCAGCTCTCCTGGAGAACGTACTCAGCCAGGTACTGCTCTCTAAAGTATTCTGTGTTTCTCAGTGATGAGATCAATTCTTTGAATGGCTATTCCAGAAACTTGAGTGCATTCTTCCCATTTTAAGCTGAGCTTCTTAGAATCTCTCATAGGCTCTTGGTGGCTGGTGGATTCTGTCTAATTGTGTCATGAGCTGCCTGTGGGGAGTGATATTATATCTGCCTGGTTGGATAATTCATAAGATTTTTTAGTGGCTAATTTTCATCCAGTTGCTCTGAATTTATAAACCAAAGGCTTCTAATGAGTCTCTTCTCTCACCAGGGTGTAAAGATCATTCTGGCTTTTCATCGAGCGGAGGCGGCAGCATTCAGCAGTCAAGAGCAAGAGCTGTTTGTTCAGTTCTGCACAGCCTTCCTGGAAGACTTGGTGCCCTACCTCAACCGCTGTCTCCAGCTCCTCTTTCCTCTAGGCCAGATCGCACAGATTCTGGGTAGTTACCTTTACTTCCTTGCAGGAGGAAGCGGGTAGAAGTGGAGCCAACTTTATTGCTCTTTGGAGCTAGGCCTGGCCCCTTGTCTGTTGAGATTGTCAATCATCCAGGCCACGTTTGTCCCAAAGGTGCTTTTCATGAAAGGCCACTGGACTTGCTTTGTGTTTTCTTTGAGCATCAAGAATGTCTAATTGCCTTTAAGAAAAAGCAGCTCTGGGAAAATGGGCCTGCCAGGTGCCTGGGAGGGAGTGAGGGATCACAGACTTGGAAAGCATAGACAGGAACCTTCTCTGGGATTTAGGATTGACGGAAGAGTCTAGTTTCCCAATTTTGTGTTTGTTTCCTGTCCTGCTAGGTGTTCCTGCTGCTCGGGTCCATAAATATGGAGGTCTCGCCTGTGTAGATGAGGAGGCGATCCAGGAGCTCCTGGGCTCAGTCCTTCCCAAGAAAGAGACCGCTCTCCCCCTGACAGAGAAGGGGCTGCCCCTACAACTTCCCCTGGACTTGGGACTCTCTGGCTCAGAGCAGGAGGAAGCAGATCCTAGCCAGGCCGTCTCTGTTTCTTCAGCTGCAGAGAAGAGCCCCCTTCCTGAGGACGCTCGGCCGCCCAGTGGCGTCTCTGCCACAGCATAGCTGGTGGAGGTTTGGGGGCTCATCTGCTAATGGAGCCTTAGCCCCCACCCCGCTCTCCCCAGGCCAGGTAAGGGCCTGGGTGCTGTTTCTGGCGGCCTCCTTTGCCAAGCAGGAAGGGAAAGGTGGGGGGGGGGTGCAGATGCAAGAGAAGAACCGGGAGAATAAAGTGCCTGGTTTGCTTTGTCCCCCGTGGTATTTTCATTGTGGGCGGGAGGCGAGGCTTCCAGGGGGAGGGGCTTCAGCGCCTCCGTGCGAGCACCTCTGCGCTTGCGCGATCCGGTGTGCTCCCTCAACCCCTTTCCTGCTTCGTGGAAGGAGCCCTTCCGGGCCAGAAGGAGGGGAGGCCTCCTGCCGCTGGGGGGCGCCTCCTCTCTGAGCTGGCTGATGGCGGCGCGGAGCTGCAGTCGCGGGCTGCGGGGCGTCCTCCGGGCCGGGCCGGTCCCGTGCCGGCCGCGCGGCCTCGCCTTCTCGGGGCGGCCCTGGGCGGAGCCCGGCGCCTGGCAGCGGCTGCGGCGACGGCTGCTGGGCCCGTGCGAGCCGCCCTTCCAGCGCGTCTGTCTGGTTGGCGACCCGGCGCTGCGCGGCGTGGCGGCGCCGGTGGAGCCGGAGCGGGTGGGCAGCGCGGAGGTGCAGCGGCTGATCGCGCGGCTGGTGGCGGTGATGCGGCGGGAGGGCTGCGTGGGGCTGAGCGCGCCCCAGCTGGGTGTCCCGCTGCAGGTCTTCGTGGCCGAGTTCCGCGGGCCGCCGCTGCCAGAAGAGCTGCCGGAGGGGCTGCGCGCCCTAGAGGTCGCCCCCTTCCCGCTGCGCGTCTTCGTCAACCCGGCCGTGCGGGTGCTGGACAGCCGGACCAGCCACTTCACTGAGGGCTGCGCCAGCCTGCCCGGCTTCTCGGCCGTGGTGGCCCGGCACATGGGCGTGGAGGTCTCAGGTGAGGCGGGGGCGAGGCCAGGCGGCCGCTGGGGAAGAGGTGCCCTGCTCGCCCCCGGGACCCCAAAGCAGGCCCCGCCGGGGGCTTCCTCTCTCTTCCCTCCACCCCCTCCAGGACTAAACGAGGCTGGAGAGCAGGTCGCGTGGCAAGCCAGAGGCTTCGCCGCCCGCATCGTTCAGCACGAGATGGACCACCTAAAAGGGATCCTCTACGTGGACAAGATGGAGAGCGGGAGTTTCGCCTGCTTGCATTGGGCCAAGGTCAACCGATGAGCAGCTCCTTTCAAGCCGGGTGGGGGGCCGCTTGCCAAAGGCACCTGCCCAGCCTTTGCTGCCTTGCTAGTAGTTACTAGTAATTTCTGTGTAAACTCCGGTGGAAAAAAAGAATGTTATAAGGCTTCATTTCCAGCACTTTATTCTTCAAAGCACAAGCCATCTCTCTCCGTACAACCTGTCACTTTAAAACGTATCTACACGTGGGCTGGGCTGTGGGAAAGCAGTCCTTCAGCCCTCTTAAGTACAAGGCAGGCCTAAAGCTTACATCAACAATGGTGGGGGGGCACACGCCTCTCCCTGTGGCACAAATTCACCCAGGAAAAAAACAATGGGCCTGACCCCGGGCAGGGGGGTGTGGGTGCGTGCGCTCATATCATTCTACCTCTGCCTGCTCAGCTGGGCTAGAAGGCAACTCTACTTGGCCAGAGGTGGGACTTGCCCGAGCCTTACAGGGAATCCCACCCGTGTCCCGTCAGTGGGAGCCAAGCCACCATTACTCTCTCCTTTGCAAAGTAATACGGGAGGCAGGTGCAACTGCAAGGGCTGCAAAGGAGTCCTGCAGTCTGAAGTTACAGCTGCTAACCCCCCCCTCCCC